GTGCTCCGCGTCGTTGTTAAATGGTCAGTGAACGAATCGCGGGCTGCACGCAGTTTTGCTGTATCTCATATAAATGCTGGCAACAGTTCCCAACTCTCCGGGCACATGTACACCTATAATCCGGCGATATTGCCGGCATTTCGAAATGAACGTTGAACAAAACGGAGCACGTTGCTCGAATAACCGTAACGAGACGCTAAGTAGCGAAGGTCAAGTTATTCCGCGGTACACGGCGGACTTCCTTACTCGACACTTTCGCATAAGTAGGTGATTCAGATTCTTGCATCCGCAGAACCACGAAACGTGAAATACGGGGCAGAAGTATGTACAAGCCGCGGGGCGAAGGGCGAGGCGCACAAGGAAGCCGAGTTTACGAGATGATTGTCCTAGGGGCCCTATTCATTCGGCACGGAATCTGCAAGCGGATCTCTATTGTAGATTATTGCGCCATTGTCCATTGTCGCGATCCCCTATGGTACAGCTACTCGGACCTTCCGTTGACGACGATGAAAAAGAGTCGCCGAATCGGAACATTAGAAGATCAAAATCCGTTGTGATTACAACATTTCTGAAATTTCTTAAGCTTATGGAAAACTGAGGCTTGTAGAACTATCTAATGCTCCTCTTACAAAGTACGTTTCAATTTATACGTGGCATTTGGTATTTAACGCGTGTCTCAAATGCAACTTTTTCGTCGGGTTTCAATCAGAACAGAGTCTCGTAGTATTTTATTAAACGTTTCACTGCGTTGGAAATTGGAGTGTTCATATGTGTGGTAAACGTGTAGGATCCATCTTAATTATCTACTAGAAGAAATGAAATAATAGTATATTACAAATGTATCGTATGCTAAAGATGGTTTAAGGATCTCTTCACGTATTTTGCACATTTAAGAAGAGTTAAACAAATCAGAAATAAATAAAATACAATACCATTAATATAACATAATACATAAAATAAAAGGCCATTAATATAATATAATAAATAAAATAAAATACCATTTCTGTGTAAGAATTTGTTTTGCAAAAGGAACTTCGCTATACTATGATTCAAAATTGACCAGCTTTACACGCGACCGTCCCGCCACTCACCACCTAAAGGGTTATCCCTCCCCTGTAATTTGCGTTCAGTTGTCACCACGGATTGTATATCTTTCCTCCGACAAATTTAAGTACGCTCGATCTGATATGCCCGGAAAACAGATATCAATTTCTATCTCGAGCGAAGTAACCGTAACTAATCGTAAGAAAAGGAATTTGTACAGTGCACTTTGCGCGCTTAACCGTTCCCGCATAATTACAGGGGGAATGAATTATTGTAAATACTCTCCGAACACTGTATCTAACGCTGTAATTTCGCGTCCTCGAACCAGGCTAGAGATAAAAATATTTGCGACGACATTAAACGGATAACGAACACGTGTGTGTGGTTCTTAAATTTATTAAACCAGGCGCAAGTTAGTAAATCCGTTAATTACAGTCCGCGTAGAACGCATTTAATACCAAGTCTGAGTTAGTGTTCCTGTAGGAATTCACTGAGCGACTTTAAAAGGCAACTGTTCCGAACGTTAGTCACCTGTGTATGGTTCAATAAAAGCATATTCATCCTAGCAGTTTAATGGTATCGCATTTACCTACTCCCTTTGCGGCGGTTTCTCGGTAAAGAGACCGGCGCGCGGACGGTTATGCGGATCGGTAGCGTTAACCCATTAAAAGGAAGACGCGCATAGCATACAAAAAAGAACCAGCAACGAAAGTCCTGGCATCCTGCGGCCGGTCGATGCAAATCGATCGTACCCGATCGGCACCTGCGCGTGGGTACATGCGATTACGTATGTATAACTTCGACGAAAAGCGGTCGATGCCATCATATTTTAGATGTTATCACGACGATATTCTACCCACGGTCCGCGATCGTACGACCAGGCAATTATTAGTAATTGGCAAATTTTTGTCCCCGTCGTAATTCACTTTAATGGTTACGCATGGATAATGTTCAGGGATTCGGGCGTTTTCTACGTTTTAAACGTGCACTCGGTATTATTCGAATAAACGTTCCTCTTTTTTCCATGCAAATTCCCAAATTTGATGGTGAATGATTGTTTCTTTTGAGAAGATGGTGTAATAACTTAGATGCAATATATGTTATCTTGTAAGATTGAAGTGTTGTTCTTTTAGGTAAGTAAATTAGGCCAGTATAAGCTGAAGTAAAGTAATTGAATAAAATAAAAGTGAGTAGTAAGAGATTGTGTTATTAGGTATGTTTTTAATCTTCTTTCAAATTGACGAATGATCGAACTTCTAAATTATCAAATTTTCAAATTTCCTAATTATTAAATTTTCAAGTTATCAAATGATCAAATTTACAAATTATTAAATTATCAAATTAACAAATTATCAAATTATCTAACTATTTACCTATCTACCTATCTACCTATCTAACTATCTATCTAACTATCAAACTATCAAACTATCAAACTTCCAAATCTCCAAATCTCCTTATCGACATAAGGGAACAGCAATCGCACTGTCCATCGACAAAGGGATCACCGTAATCCATAGGGGAGTCTCGGCAACGGCGTAATTCGCGTGCTTCACTTACAGTACACAGGACATACATCTACGATAATTCGAGAAACATAACTCAAGTCCCAGCGGAGCGCTACATCACGGCCACCAGTTTCTTGGCAGATATCGCCGCGGTGCACCGTGTCGGCTTCCCTTTGCTACTTTGCCGGACTTTTTCCTTTTACCTTTCTCACCCCGCCCTCTGCAGCCCCCACTTGTCTACAATGTCCTATACCTTTCTTGCGGTTTAACCGACTGTGACGATTTTTCATCACCGCACGTGTAACCGCGATTCCGGCCGGGTGAACCGATATTCGAGACGTACACGCTGGTAGATAGGGGAGCCGAAAATCTATAGGCATTCGTTTTTGCCAACGGGTTCACAGTAGCACGAAAAAACATGGAACTGTCGAGGATTTAAGAAAAGAAGGACTTGCCCGATCGGATTTTCTAAAGAAAAAATTAAACCCAGGTTGCAGGTTTCTCGATCAGGCGCAATGTTAAACAAATAAAAATCAACCGAGCAGACTCAAGTCAGAGTCTCATTGTTCCTCGAGACAGCTGGTTACTATAGTGTACATTGTGAAAAAGGAGCTCTGTATAATTTGCGGTTTCGCTGCGTGTCAGGGTGACCAACCTGCTTACTTACACCCCTCAGAAGAGTCAACTTTGTTAACCCCTTGTCTTATGATTTCTTTCACAACTGTGTTTCATAAAACTACCTTATCGTTAATAATTTCATCGAAAAATAAATGAATTATAATTTTATTCTGTCTCTATGTTTACTCTACAGGTCAAAGATTTATAATAAATAAGTAATATTTCATTCGTATGAAAAATAAATAACATTTACATTTGTGGAATGCGATGGAACACCAGTCTGACTCGGTATTATAGGAAAAAGGGTTAATTAAATTTCCATATAATGTAACAGTTTGATATCTATAAGGGATAAATTCACAACACTGTAGAAGACACGACACTTTCAATAGAATATCTCCGGAAAACTGTTGATTACTCGACTGTGTGAAATTTGCATATTGTCTGAGATATCTATATTTATAAATGACTTACTACAATAATGTGTACAATGATGATATCAAAATGTATCGATTCAAAATGAAATGTTATGAGTTATTACCAAGAGCACCAGCTTTTCTATAGTAGTTCTAAATTAAATTACCGAACCAGCTGAACGTATCGCGTCCTGATCGCGGTGTAATTGTATCAGAACCGAGCAATAAAATATGATGTTACACGTTTATCAGAACCACATAATACGTCAAGTTTTAAATGTCTACATCAAACTTCACGTTCATAATGCAGAAGCTATCATTTATATCGTGCGAGCAAGCAGCGTACAAGGAACCATGACAGAACAATAAAACCCGTATACTTCATGAATCATGTTCAAACTTCTTTGTACGTTATGTATAATACATGCATTACAGTCTCGCGGTGTTACGACTTTCAACGCTTCGCCGTTGCATCACGCGGCCCTAATGTGTTGTGTGTAATGGTTCCGCGCGAGTTTTATCGTTCGAACAAGGTCCGATTTCAAAACATTTATGTAGCACTTAATAATAACGTTACCGGAACGCATAACAATGACAGGTGATGGAACACTAAACGACTCGATAACACCGTTCGACAGTGCGTTTAAAACAAGGAACAACCAGTGGCAGTGTTGAATTATTGAAACTCCCGATCATGTGATCAATTTCTTCGTTAATTCCAACGTTATTTTTGCGACTGCATATTCTCAGCGTTACAACGCTGTATTTCATTAAGGAACCATGATTCCTTTATTTGTCATATTCTAATAAAAAAGACATCGTATCCATGCAAAATCCTTTTAATTGTAACGTTATAATAAAGAACACTACTTGCGAATTATCCTATGATGATCCTATATGAAAGTACTTGGCTACTAGAAACATATAGTGTAATAAAAAGATAAATTTGTGAAACAGTTTTACTAGATTATTTAAAGCTGTTAAATGTCTGTTAAATTGCAGACATTTAACAGAAAATTTAACATTTAGCAGAAAGAGTAAATCTGTTAAACAATAAAACGAAAGTGCAAATAAATTGAAAAAAAGAACAAAAATCCTGATAAAATTAAATGATCCACAAGTAAACGGGAAAACATAAGTTACAAAAAGGGATAGGAAGAGAAGTATCATATCCTTGTCCATTTTATTCTTGTCAGCATACAGGTGGAAATATTTTACATGTCACTCACCCTGCAAGTTGACGCATAACTAATGATTATATTTCAATTAATCGCATTGTTTTACTCTCCGCAAACGTTGTTGCATAAATTAAAATCACGCAACCAGCGAAAGTAAGATGCTACTGCGTTTGAACACCAAAGCCCGCCACCACCTGTCGACAATTTTCTGATGCTTGTCTTAGTACGAGAAGACACATGTTACATTATGCTCCAGCTATCCTAAATGTACACGAAGTAACGTGTTCGTGTATGCTAATCGCCGAGGGACTAGACACTTAACCAGTGCTCTTTCGGCGTGAAAAATAAAGTGAAATACAATTATCAGCCTATACGGCGTGTATTGTGAATAGGTATACCTATCGTTAATTTGTACACGTCATAATTAATAAGCTGACTGACATGAACGCTTCACAGAAAAGTTCCACCGAATCACAATCTACCTGTCATCGTGGCCACAATGAACTGACGGTTTGCTAAAAATTGTACAAGGCGATTACAGCGGTCTGACTAAATTATATTCCCGATTAAAATGAAAACGAACGAAGATTGGGAAAAAATGTTCATACTGTTTAACGCACTTTATAGCTTTACACATCAAGTTTCTGTAAATGCATTGATACTATTGTAAATAACAAATTCGTCTTTTCTTTATTATCCACTGTATCATTTTTTTCTAGACTATTAACAGAAAACTGACGTACAACCTCCATTTACGCGGCAATTTTTACACGGTCAGAAATTCTGTTCTTTACACGGTACATTGTAATGCTATTCGCGCGCTCTAAAATCAGTGACATCGAATAAAATTTCTTTTTATTTCCTCAAATACCATTACTATTTTATTTGCTAACATGTTGGCTGCCACGGTGGTCACCGATAACCGGAGATTCCAAATTTGCTTGAGAAGAACTACAATTAAAAAATTGATGTCGAATGAAAATATTTAGTAACATAAATAGCTAGATAATAATGTAATATGAGTACTGTCATACCAAATTATTAATAATTATTTCTAATACCATTTGCCTTTGTGATGGAAGTACAAGTATTACTATACAAAACGCTCGAAATTCTCGTGGCAGTCAACGTGTTAAGTTCTGTGAAATAAATATGTATTTCTAAAACTTATACCAGCTTTTCTTTCTTATGTTTTGTTTTCTTCTGTACTGGCGGACTCTATTTGCGCGATTCTCATTCGCGTGAAACGAGTCCACGTGGAACGGATACCGCGCGTAAATAGAGGGACAGGTGTAAACATTGAGAAGAAAGACGAGACGTCAGTAATGACGCGCTCACAAGGACGCGAGATGAAAATGAAATGGTGTGTTCCTGCACGTACCTTATTTTCCCGGTCTCCTTATGTTTGCCGATCATAAAGGTAATGACGCCATCGGCCAACTGAGTTGACCACGGTGGTTTGACCCAGATCAGGTGCTTGAAATGGCCAGCATACGCGGCCGGCATTATCCAGCTCTCTATGCTAATTTCTCTGTACCAAAAATATATGATTCAGATATCTTAAAAACAATAGTAAGGTAAAAGCACCAATAGTTGACCAGTTAAGAAAAATGTTCTGCGTGAATGATAGTAAACGCTTGCTCCTTTATCAAATAGAGAGACTCCATGCGTGAGAATGCTGTTTTGAACTTCCTACATTATGTAACAAACCGAACTCTTTTGAAATACTTGCGTCAGAAGTTGACCATCCTTAAAAACAAGGAAACTAATGACTGACAATATACAATAAATTTAGAATAAAATTTTAACGCTTATAATAAAACCAAAAGCACTAAAAGTGATTGCTTTAATATCGTTGATTTGCAACGCTTATGATTATAAGTAAAAGGATAAATATAAATCAAAAGAAATTAATGCCATATTGGAAATTGGAGGCACACAAACAACGACAATAAAATAAATTGTCAGTTTTTACGATAAACAATGTAATTCAGGTAAAAGTGTTTCGGAGTTGAGTTGATAGATGCAGCAGCATATCTATCGCGTCTTTATCGATGGATTATTATTTTTAAAAACCTTATTTATTACATTTTCCTGAAAAATGGTCAACTACTGATACCAAGTCAATTACTCAATTAAACTTATAGCATTTCACTATTATATATCTTATAATCTGTGAACTCTTAGAAACTGGTGAAAATCGTCCTTCAAAAATCAAAACTACTCTAAAATATTAACACGTCGATTGCCAGATGATTTCATGCAACAGAATACGCAAAATGGAAAACATATAATATCAAATGATTTAATTGAGTTGCGTTATCATTATTATACGTTTATCTTGCTGAATACCACTGCTTTAGGTTGCACTCGACATGTTACAAGCAAATCTCATTATAAATACCTTCATAGAACTTTCTCAAATGATACGAAAATATTTATTTCCCCTTTCATTTTTATCCTTACTTTTATGTTTATTTTTAATAATGTTTACTCGATGAAATACAAAAATTACTGAGGAAGAATTACTGAGGAATTCAATTAAACTTGAATATCGAGTAATGTAAGCGGGGCTTACGTTAAAAAATGGGTTTTCTTTATTAACTATAAATTAGCTTTTTCATTTGTTTAAAAATTAAAGTTCAATTTTGTGATTGCGTATCAATACGTAACAATTGAATTCAAATGAAAAGTACGCAAGAAAGATGGAAAATAGAATAATGCAATCATTTTGAATATAACGAATGATTTATATGTACTTGAATAGCTCTTCCTTTTCCCACACAGTATCCGCAGGCATCTCTTTCGGAATGACCATATCAGGGTGGGAATCCAAGTGTATAATTGTATTCCCTTCGAATGGAAGATATTTAGAACCCACACAGCGATAGATATAAGGTAGGACCTGGAGAAAAAGTAGTGTTTTGTAAAACTATTTAAAATTACTAGCCCGCCAAAACTACAATGTTCAATTCTAATCCGAACACAGTACTGTGTTACGTGAGCAATGTAACAGCAAGTGTATCAAAATTCCTACATTTTTAAAAAAGAGATCATGTTTCAAAAAATGTAAATATTTGTATGTAACAAATAGAAATATGTAATAAAGGAATTTATATAATGTAAGAAAAAATACAGAAATTCAAAATGTCGGATCACATGACATACGTCACTGGTAAAGGAATCCTGTACAGCGCCTCTAGCGTGATATAACGGAAACTTCCGCAGAAAAAAGGTGAGATGTAAACAAACGAGAAAGACACTGACCAAACGACAGCTTACCTCGTCGTGTCCTTCTACCACGTAAACCGGCGTGGTTTGAAAATACCGTGAAACCATGGTCATAAGTTTATCACACACAACGACGTATAATTACGGACGCACGAAATTAAAAAAGAAATCGATAACCGCACTGATTGATACAATACGGAACTCGCGAACGCGATTAAGGGACGCCTTCACGCAAAAGCACGTGGTGACCGACTGAAGTATGCTAGGCGGGCTGCTCAAACGATTATTTTGCGAATAAAGAACGGACACAACAAGCGCGTACCCCAAATTCTCACGAGACGAGTTTCGTAAGGTGTTTTTTTTTCTTTGTGTTCCCCTTAAAGAAACGCTTTAGAAACCTGATCCCTCTAACTCACAG